ATCTACAATGATATTATATATTTTGACTATCATCAAATTTATTGTAACATTGTAAATTTAGGTAGTATAAAATTTCTTTAAAGCTTAGTTTACATATTATAATTTATAGTATAATGACTATAATGATAAATTCATAATCGCTATTCATTACATTACTTAATTTTTGCTATGTTTAGCATTTCATTTTTTGTATAAACACGGTCCATTATTAATTTATTATATAGGTTCTAGGTTTACCTATTAGATATTAAAATAATAATCACAAACATAAATCAATAATCGTTTATTTTGTATTTGATGTATGTATTTAATCGTTTTAACAAATCAATTTTTTWAATTAATTTATGTGCCTACCTTGGTCATATCTAAGGTGAATTTTACATTTAATTAATATTTTTTCAATGGGTGTAGCTGTGTGGCCGTGTGGGGGAGGGCACTTTGCCACTCGTTTACGCCGATATAATATAATGTATAGTATTATTTTTTCTACCCAATTTTCATATTTTTTCTTATAGCCTAAAGTTTAAACTATATACCAAATTAAATACCTATCAGTGTGTTGTACAAAAGGCATGGWTGCATATAAAATYATGTGGAATCGTGTATGTATCGATATACTATTATAGCCTGCCTACGCCCTATAATGATTATYATTTGTTAAAATCTATACACTATTTATTTTATCAAATTCGAGGAAGTGTTCACTATTATAGTATTATACCACTTATCCAAMATCTTTAATTTGCCATAAGTTGTACACTCGTACCCCGTAGGTATTAGCATAGATTAAATATCTATATAAACTGCTAGTGTCTTCATCTTATATTGAGTAATATGACCTATGTAATATATACTAGTATACTACAGGTTACCTATCATAGGTATARGTACAATTGTATACTGTATTGAGAATAGCTAGGATTTTTAAAATGTCTAAATATTAATTTTGAAAATAACTTGCAGGTCAGAGGCCACTAGGTAGGTACATATTATTTATTTAATTATATTAATCGCCATTATGATAAATCAATTTTAAAAAAAATGTTACAACTTTGCAACCATATATTGTATAATATATACATATTAAATAGATTATATAAAATACATGTACRAATTTCTATTTTTTTGTTCATATTTTAGTGTATCTACTTACAGTTAAATTTAAGTGCGGACAGCACGAAATAATTTGCATATTATTATGGCCTGCGTTGTGGGTACTGTTAGTATAAAATGTTATTCGCTCAAAAAGTCTTAAATTGTCATCTTTATTTTGTTAGCTTTCTTTAGCTTCGGCCGTGCTAGTAGGTATTTAATGCACCGCTGTGTAGAAAATTGATCAGCCCCCCCCCCCAAAAAAAAAAAAAAAATCCTGGCTACGCCGCTGATGTTATTTATGTGTTTAGATGGTGTCATGGTGTAAATATAAAAAAATAATCGGTTGTAGAAACTTGTGCTAATTTTAATATAATACTAGATAATAATTAATGCTCAATAATATTGTTGTAATGTTGCTGATGCAGAATAAAAAGTAGTATTAAAAAATAACACAGCATCCTCAATAATCAAAATCTGTGTGAATGATTGCTATCTAGTGACAAATATTTACACTAAAGCTTGGATATTTTTCATAGTGTTATCATATTACAGATATTTTAGATAAATTTATTTTCCACTCGGACTAAGATATTATCTTAGTCCGTGATTTTCCAGCAATATTTTATACTTTGTTGTTAATGGCTCTTAATTATTTTGTACGAATATATTCATGTATATAATTTCGTGGTAATAATGCAGTTTATACCTAAATAGTTTAAATTTAATTTTAAATGGCAAATCGGTTGTTATGTTAAAATAGTAATGTCTTGAATAAGGAATAAGGATTAGTGCATTAATTTATTGCGTAATCAAATTATTGTTATAAATTTTTATCATAGAAACATTTATATAATATTTATATCATGAACTGTATAATATCAAAAAATAACGTTATCTACTTTTAAATCAATTTAATATGGCATAAATCACAGGTTAAATTTCAAAACGTCGAACGTTCCTACTTCGAAACTAAAAGTATCTGTTTAATTATTAAAATTTAATGTGTTATTATAGGTCCTAGGTAATTAATTAACTGTGCCACTGTGATTTTTACAYACTGCACCTTATTTACTCTGTACAAATAAATAACGATTATTCTGTGTCACTTTATTGTTATTGTTGTTGTACACTAAGTATCACTTTTTTTCATATAGTTTTTTTTCTGTTAATAGATTAATTTTTTTAAAAACTTTTTTTACAATTGTTTGTGCCGTTATAGGTACTTTAMATGTTCCTACAAGTATAGAGCTTTTATTTAATTTACTTACCTAATATATGTTTTCAACTATTAACAAAACACTTATATCCACTGAACATGATAAAAGACCATGTGTCGCTGAATTTCGACACTGTTTTGTTGACTGGTTCAACTCAAAAGTACAGTTRCAAAAGTTTTTACCGAAGAGTAAGGATCAAAATTTATTTATATAATCATTATTTATGCAAGACGTTTAATTTGATTATTTTTCTACAGTGTTGGAGACAATTATCAAAATTACAGAAATTAATTTTATATTTATTGACTAGCATAATATTAATTTCGCTACTTTTGTGGTTCATTGGAACTAGTAAGAATCTCGAAGAATTATCTGAAACAAACTCTCTTAAGTTACCACAACCAACTATTTGGCCCCAGGATAATATTGTATGCTTGATTTTGTATCACAATATTCTTATTTTCAATGACATATATCTGACATGGCTAATTACTAATGATTTGTTTTAGAAATTGAATTTACCAAATTATGTAGATGCTGTGAAGTTAAATGAAATTGAAGATGTTGAATCTCCAGATCAAAAAGAACAAATAGCTGCACCAGCATCCAATGTAGCTGCAAACCCTGTTGAAGGTGTTCAGTTTATGCCAGCAACTAGTCATAGACAAACTGCAGTTTTAAACGCATTTAAACATGCATGGAAAGGATATTGCAGTTATGCCTGGGGACATGATCATGTAAAACCCATTAGCAAGAAGTAYCAAGATTGGTTCAATCTAGGATTGACCATTGTTGATTCTCTAGATACACTATGGATTATGAATTTAAAAAAAGGTATGTACCTACTACTGATATTAATTTGATCTTAGAGATTGCATTCTTGTGTGCAATAAATTGGACATCTTTAGATATTAGATTATTATTTATTACTTACTATGCCACTATGGGAAATCAATGTTTCATATTATAGATAACTGAATTTAGGATGTAATTAGTTTAGGCATCATTTAATATTGTAATTTGAAAAATGTTTGGGTATTTTACTTTAAAATTTAAATATTTTAAAAGCTAACTGTAGAACAAAAATTATGGGTTTATATTTACAATTTACAAGTATTTTATGAAACTATCTAATGGTAGTTTCTTGAAATACAAATTTATATAATTTTAGGTGTGTAAGCGTGTGTTCTGTAGCCTAAATAAGTGTAATTATAAAATGTTTGAATTTGTGTTACTGAACCTTTATGAACCTTTATTTTTCAGTATGTTTTTCATATTTATGAATAATATGCAATGTAACAATGTATGTGTATGAAATTTGTTTAGTATGTTTAGCTTAAAGGCGTGGCGTGTGCAGACTTTATTTGCAGGAGATGCCAATATAATTCAAAATAACTCAATTTTTAACTCTCTTCAAAAAAAAAGATAAATCAGAATTTTTTTCTAAAATAATGTAATACATAACTACAAAACTCTCTGTTACGTTTGTGATAAAAATTATGATAATATTGATAGTTTTCACTATTAAAAGTAAAAACATTAAACAAGCTATCTAAGTAGACTGCAGGGGATGCCATGGCATACCCGGCATCCCCCCTGTGCACGCCTATGCATTTCAGTTATTGTTACAACTTCTTGTGTTTGTTTTTAAGTGCATAATTAGTTTTTGATGGAAACATGAAAAGTAATATTTACTAACAAAAGGAAAAATTCTTAAATTTATAGGGTAAAGGTGACTAAATGACATGATAATTTTTAGATAAAAATATACATATAGTAATATTCCTTTACTCAATATATTAACTCGATACCACATTACCACAGGTACCTTTAGCTTATAAAATAATTTATCATTAAAAATTAATCTGATTTTCTATAATTATCTTAAAAATTGAACCATATCCTTATTGATTATGTTAAAATTTAAGTTTCTGCTCACATGAACAAAATGAATTTAAATATCTTTTTTAACTGAAGTGGTCTCTTTAAATTGTCTTTACATTGTTAATGCTTGCTCAGGTTGCTCCTGTTATTGAGCTTATGAAGTTTTTCTAATGAATTAACCTAATGTACATTTTCTCAACAAACACTTCTACATTTGTGCAAACCACTTGTCGAAATAAATTTTCGATTGTCGTTTACATTTTTACTAACCAGTACTAAACATTGGACACCTAAAGACTTTTACAAACGTTTCAGTCAACACTCAAAATATCCTGATTAAAAATTTGATAATTTTTTACTCAGTACCAGGTTCAAAAAAAAGTATTGTATCTATTTAGTACTTAGTATGTCAAGTACATAATATGAGATATTTAAGTACTTAACTTATCACTGCTAATTACCTGTATTATTATTTATTAGTGACACTAATTACTCATATTATTAACAATAATAATTGCTCTACTAATCATTTAACTAGTATAAATGTTTCGATTATGTGTAACATACATTTTATTTGAAGTACTTATTATGATAGACATAGAGTATATACTTGTATTAATTCTTTTTTCTTAATAATTTGATGCACTATTAATGGAATATGATTTACTTTAGAATTTGATGAAGCTCGTGAATGGGTTAGTACCAGTTTTAATCTTGATCGTTATAAAGATGTCAACCTTTTTGAAACTACAATTAGAGTGTTAGGTGGATTTTTAAGTGCTTATCATTTGTCAGGAGATTCATTATTTCTCGATAAAGCTGTAAGTAATAATTTGTTATTTTTAAACACTGAATATTTGTTAGTTTTAAATCATCATAGTTATTGTATTTTTATTTAATTTTTTACAGCTAGACATTGGTTCACGACTTATGCCATGTTTCACAAAATCTCCATCACCAATACCATATTCAGATGTAAATCTTATCTCTCACATGGCTCATTCACCCAAATGGAGCCCAGATTCAAGCACAGCTGAGGTATCTACCATTCAATTAGAATTTAGAGATTTATCAAGATCTACTGGTACACAGCATTTTGAAGTGAGTAATACTAACATAACTCATTGTGTAATCTGACTATCATATATTCAATTCAATTTCAGACTGTTTCATTCAAAGTGTCAGAACATATTCATTCATTAGAAAAACCTAATGGACTTGTGCCTATCTACATAAATCCAAACACAGGCAAATTTCATAGAGGATCTGAGATTAAAATTGGTGCTAGAGGTGATAGTTATTATGAATATCTTTTGAAACAATGGATCCAAACTGGAAAATCGATTGATTTGTAATAATTATCTWTTATTACATTTTAAAGACATCAGTTAAAAATATTTGTTTATTGTAGTTTGAAGAATGACTATTTGGAAGCTATTGATGGCATAATCACGCAATTAGTGCGGACATCACCAAAAAGGAATTTAACATATATAGGTGAACTGAAGGCAGGATCACGCAATTTTCATCCAAAGATGGATCATTTAGTATGCTACCTGCCGGGCACATTAGCACTTGGTGTTCATTATGGTATGCCTTCTAGTCATATGAGATTGGCTGAAAAACTGATGGAAACATGCTATCGTATGTATGCTGATCAACCAACATTTTTATCCCCAGAAATTGTGTATTTTGGTACAAAAGTAAGATTGAATTGATCTTAAAATATCTAGCATCTTCTAACATTTGCTCACTTTTTTTTGCAGATGGATGTTAATCAAGATATGTATGTTAATATAAATGATGCACACAGTCTATTACGGCCTGAATTTGTTGAAAGTCTTTGGTACATGTATCAAATATCAGGCAATACTACATATCAGGATTGGGGTTGGTTAATATTTCAAGCATTTGAACGACATACTAAAGTAGCTGGAGGTTTTACATCCATTGGCAATGTGTTAGATCCAGAAGATACTCGTCCTCAAGACATGACTGAGTCATTCTTTTTTGCGGAAACCCTTAAGTATTTATATTTGTTAATGTCTGATGATCGACACATGTTATCCATTGATAAGTATGTGGTTAATAGTGAAGGGCATCCTATGCCAATTTATARCCGGTGATAAATAGTTCTGGTTACTTATAGATTTGCTGTTGAGTTAATGTATACAATTTTATTTGTCTTTATTGGCTGTGAATTTTTATTTTATCGGTTTTGTATACTCGTCCAYAATTACCACAAAATATTTAAACTTACTATTAATACTGACAAACTTATTTTTAATTTAAATATTAAATTATAAAATTTTAATTTATTTTTGGTTACTACTTTACAATTTTAAATTTATCAATTTTTCATGTTTTGCTTTTTATTTTATTACACAATTTAGTGAAAATAATATTTAACACTCAGCATCTAAAATGATAACTGTAAATTAAAATATTACTCTGTCATTATTAAATTGTTTTAATTGGATCAGAAAAGTATTAAGTTTACTACTAAATGCACAAAAGTGATTAAGTTATTTATAATTTCAATTATTAAAATATTTTATAAATTATTCATTTTTAAAAATTAAATTGTTAACAGTTCCCTATTTTATACATATACTTATATTTATAAATTTATTTAGATAAATTCTAAGAAAACACAAAATGTATAACATAAACTTATACTGAAGAACCCCTTAAAAGTTTCATAAAATAGTGACTATATATTCTATACTATTATAATATTATCTTATTAAAGTATTTAGATGAAAATTATTTTTAAATAACTTTTGATAACATTGAAGGTACTCGTTTGTTGCTCCACCAGCAACCACCAAGTGGTGGTGGAGACAATTACCAAAAAGTACTGAATTGAATAAAAAACAACATAAAATAATCGTAGATATTTGAATTAATTAACTAGGTAAGATTTGTTTAAATTTTGAAAATAGTAATTTTTGATTTTTAAGTTAAATAAACTACACGCAAAACAACATTTAATTAAGCTCTACTCAGTTATTTATTTCTGCATGTATTTTTTTTTCATTTTTGCCCTATCCCAGTCTGTATCATATTTTAACATGTTTTGTTAATTATTATTGTTTTATGTGTACTACAGCCGAGGCTTAATCACTTGAATCTTAGAGAGGACTAAAATAAATTTGATGAGTTTTTGAATTATAAACTTCTTATATCAAATATAACTTATAAAAACTTCAAGGAAAAAAAACTAAATCAAAGTTATGAATGATTTTTAGGTTATTGATGTTTGATTTATTGCGACTCGGCTGTATTATACATTTTTAAATTTAATTTAAATGTTTAATGCACAATTGTTAATACACTTGTACCTATAGTTAATTTTATGTTTGCTATTGTATTTTATATTGACGTTAGAAATACATAGATACATATGTGATATGATTTTTTTTTTTTAAATAACAAAAGAAACTATTTAATTAATTAATGTATAATTTAAACTATGAACAAACAATTTTTGTTAAAACATACAAATAACAAGTGTTTTACTATTTGTATAGTTTATATGATACCAGGTTAGTATAGGTAGTCTATATTTTATAGTTTATATAGCTTAATATTTTTTCTACGCTAAATCAATAAATTAATATACAATTTGTGAATCATAAATTGTTGTGTTTAAATAAAAATAATATAATTATATTATTAAATTTGTAATTTTGAAACAATCAGCATTGATGAACTATTGATTTTTGATGATTTAATATTATTAATATAATTATGACTGAATAAGCAATATATTTTTTTTTTAACTAGTACCTACCACCGTGTAGTGTGTACTAAGCCTTCCAAAAMTACATCTACATAATATATAACACCTAAACTCCATCGTTTGATAGTAACATTTTTATATTATTTTTTTGTCATGGAAAGAATTACAGATATAAAAATTCTACAAAATTAATGGATTCAAATTCGGATACTGATTAGAAACTAAGAGTTGGTGGTTTATTCAAACTTTTAAAATTATAAGTGAATTCAATATTTGATGTCAGAGAAAAGTGTACCAAGTGTGCTCATGGCTAACTACAATCAGAGTCCAGAAACAAGGATTACAATTAATATATGAATTAGGATAGTATGTACACTGTACATCGCATGATTATTCATTTTTATATGATTTATTCTATAATTAGTTTAATTTATAATATTGTACTATAGCCTATAGATTACCAACATTTGGGAATCTTTTATAATTTTCTGAAAGAAATAAGCATCATAMATTTCATATAATATTCTGTTGATTAACATATAAAATAATAATATTCATTTAATCAACGGTACTTCTATCTGAAATAAGATTTAAATATTTTATCCACCAGATAGCGTTGATCATTTCTTGGGAACGATAATATTTTACAAAAATAGTATGGACCATTATTTAATGAACTTTATTAATTTTATCATATCATGGAACCATTGGTGTCTATGAACCAATAATTCTATTTTTAAATACATTTTCGGTGAGTACTGAGTATGAAACTAGTGGTGTACCCTTTTCAMATTTTCCCTTATTCGTTTCATACCCAATAAGCAATAATATATTTTACTCACTAAGTCACAAGGCACAAACGTTGCTATGATATTATAAATTATTACATTTTTTTTTTGTTCATGGTACAACTTCAACATTAAAAAAAAATAATCAACTACTAGCTTACAAGTTTCGTTCTTAATTAAAAAATACAAGTTTAGTTTTAATTGGTACATTTTAATTATTGTATTGTGTCAAGACTTGACAGTCAAGTAAATAAATTTGAGTCGTCGAGTTAATACAATTTTTCTACGAATGATGTTTTCTTATTATCGAATACCYATATATTTGTATATTATGTCGCTCGTGACGCGTTTGATGATTACTTAAGTGCTTATATTATATACCCGTTAAGGTGCTTGATGTTGCCGTTTTTTACTTATTCTTAATTAAAATTATCAGATGGTGTTTAGACAAATAAAAAACGTGTTTACTTATCGGTTAAAAATCAATAAAAAATGGAGATCAATTCAA